GCCGGCTGGGCTCCGCTCTAGGTGGGAGGCTCTGGCAACCCACTTCCGAAACGCCTTTCCTTGAAAACTGCAAAGGACTCGTCCAAAAGCAGTCACTGCAGAGTCGGTAACAACTGAGTGCAGATTAAAAAAAAAATGGTGTGGGCTCAGTGTATGATGGTATGTTGTTATAGTGTTTGCTGTCTCCTTGTTTGGCCGTCTTTCCTTTTCATGGTTTTGAGTCACTTTGAGTGGGTGGCCTACAAATGTGATAAATAAATAAATAAATTCTCCCTAGAACTGGGTGATCTTGGGCCAGTCACTCTCTCTCAGCCTAGGAAGCAGGCAATGGCAAACCACTTCCAAAATCTTGCCAAGAAAACTGCAGGGACTTGTCCAGGCAGTTGCCAGGAGTCAAGACTGACTCGAAGGAAGGAAAGAAGGACGGACTTGTCCGGGCAGTTGCCAGGAGTCAAGACTGACTCAAAGGCAGAAAGGAAAGGAAAAAGGAAAGGAAAAAGGAAAGGAAAGGAAAGGAAAGGAAAGGAAAGGAAAGGAAAGGAAAGGAAAGGATTACTGTACTGCATAGTGATACTTAGATTCCCAAAACGAATTCAAACATTAAACAGATTCATAGCTTTTGCTTTTTGTTTTTACTACTGCTCAACTGGTGATGAAACGTTATTCAACTGAGCCCTCCTTAGGTAAAGAAACTGATCCCAGTAACGTAAACACAAACCAGCCATTTATTTCTGGAGCACATAAAATAGGCTGAGTTCAAGCTCTTACAGAAGCTGTAGAAGCAACCTTCAGACACCAGAATGACTTCACTACTGCAGGAGAAACTTTGCGAAGTTCACACTCAGGCTCCTGCACCCAAGAAAGATTTCCACTGCTTGACTATCACAAAAAATGAGGTAAAATGGCATAAATCTCATTATTTCTAAAATTAGAACTTTATTGAGTGTTTGCTGAAGAGAGTGCAGATATGAGAAAGCTGCACTTTCTGATCTTCTGTACAGCCAAGCATCTGTTAAGAGACCAAAATCTCAGCAAAAAGAGATATCCCAAACAAGCCATTCTGACAGATATGCCCACTTATATCTAGAGTATATATAAATCTGGTAGTGTGGTTGTGGTGGTGGGCTCAAAACAAATGATGGCATCCGTGTGCCATTCTTCTCTTTTTCTACACACTGTAATTCAAATACAAATGGTGATAAACTATATTCTCAATTTCTTTCTTTACATTTAGATTGTTGGCAAAACAGGAAAGGGATAATAACTTACTGTACTCTTTTTAACATTTTCAACGCTGTAGGTTATCTGGAAATCATGGCAAATTTCTTTCCGACCTAATCAAGAAAAGATTCTCCCAAAGGAATTGAAGAAGACACACAAAGATTTTCTGTTGGATGAACAATTACATAGCAAGTATTAAATGGGAAAATAAATTGTGCACCTCTTTCTACACACACATGCATGCACACAGTCATACTGCACATACCCAAGGTTCCACTTTTAGAATCTCAACCTAGTTTCAGCAGAACTTTATAGTAAGATGGATTCTATGTATGTTTACTTGTAAATAAGTCATACATTGTTAAAGAAGTTTTCATGAAACAAGCTTTGGATTACAGCTTTGCAAGTTATATTTGGGGAAAATCTTTTCTAGTTTTCTTCAAATGAAAATTAAAACTTAACTCATTGCGATTTGTGTCCAAATAAGAATATCCTAGTTTCCCTTCAGACTGCATAATTCTTTTGACTTTTACTAGGAATTCCATGGGGAAGACTGCAAATGTTTGGGGTTTTTTCTAGTGGGTAAAGCCTGTGGTTCTAAATATACTTAAGACAGTGGGGTTTGTTCAACATTATATGTATGTAAAAGAGCAGACCAGAGCAAGGCATGCAGAGTTGATGAAGATTGGCAGAACCTGACAGATCTTAATGGCTGAAGTCAGAGTTTAGCTTGATTCCAGAGTTGGCATAGCTTAGTAGTAAAGTACATGAGTTGGATTCAGAAGAACTGAAGTTAAATCCCAATGGATTTTTCCATTGAAAGGATCAGGTACAGAACAGCAAAAGTGGACAACTATTTTGCCCCCAAGAGCTGAAAATGAAATTCGTGGTTAGGTTTGGGGGGCATAATGCAATAGTTGTGGCTGAAGATGATGTTGAGAAAGTCCAAGGTTTATGAATTACATCTCTGGTGGGCATTTTCTCATACATACAGTAGAATTTCCCTACCTCAGTGCTTATATAGCCAAATTCTCCATTCCATGTTATTGTTTGCAGCACAGAGATTTGATCTTCGTTGCACTGGGAGTGCTGCAGGGGGCAAAGTTAAACTTCCCACATGTTCCCATATAAATCACTCAAAGAAATTTTACCTTCTGAAGGTACACACAAATGTAAGTGGAATTTATCAGCATATCTCATCTCTTCTAGGAATTATAGCGCCTGAGCTCATGAAGATTTATTTTTTGTATATTATTTCTACATATCTCTTATTCATGTCACTTCTTACAGCACCCTCTTTTCTTTTTGCAAATCTAGGCCTTATGTTTTAGTTTAGTGGTCTAAGAAGCAGCAAAAAGATTAAATAAGATTGGCTCCAACTCTTCTGACCTTTCAAAAAAACTTAAAGACCTGAATGTGCTCCTAGGCATGGGGGTCTGGGAGTTAGTTGGAGACTGTGGAGTGTTCTTAGTTTATCAGATCTGTTTTTACCTTGGTGACGGTTACACGTTTTTTATCCTGGTTGTTTTTAGTATTTATTTAATTATATGATGTTTTTATCTGTTGTTAGCTGCCCAGAGTCACTATGGCAAGATAGTGGGCGTATAAATCTAATTAAATAAATAAAATAAAAAAGTAATGCCAGTCTATATATTAGCAAGTCTTATTTCTCCCAAGGAAATACTTGATACCAATGAAGTGCAGTGCCAAACAATTAGTAGATTCTTTCTGTGGGGTTAGTTTAATTTCTTTCTATTCTCTTTGTTTCTGAGGCACTTGTTCATTCATTGTATAGAATCAGCTATTTGTTCTGCTTATGTACCTAATGAATAGCACTGCCCCTGCATCGGGGTGGTTGCTATAGAGAAATCTGTTCATCATTCCAAATACTTTAAGTACATATAGCAAAACCCTGAGTCTCTGATGATAAGTGTCATAATTATGCTTCAATACATTTTTTTTAATATCTGAAACGTAAAAAGCTTTCAGAATGCAAAGTGCTGTAGTATGTGTGTCTGTACTGCTTATGTACAAGAAACGCTTTAGTCATAATTAACCAAAAGACAACTTTCATATGAAATGCCCAGGCAATCCAGAATTAGCATTCTACTTAATAAAAATCATGGCACCTTGCTTTTTACTTAGTGCTAAATCATGCTTTCTTATGTGGTATGTTAATATATTTTACCTGGATGGCTTTGGTTTTTGTTTCTTAAATATCTAAATAATGGCAATAATAAATAAATAATAAAAAGGCTCTCTTCTGACAGATTTACATGAACATAATTTCCAGCAACAATTTGTTGTTGTGCAAGCAAACCATTGTACTAAACTATCTGATGGCAAAACTACCCAAATGGGTTGAAGCAGTTGTACACTGATGACCATTGATTATAATCCATAGAGGCATCTTTGGGAGCACATGTCTCTTCCACAGTATGTTATTAAATAACTTATCCTATAATATTTCAAAAGGTATAATTTCAAAGTGGTTCACACACACTCAAGTTTCCTCTGGACTATAACATAAGCAGTTATTAATCTGTGAGGATCTATTCCCAATACACCTAAGTATATATAAATCCTGGCATCTTCTTTAGAAGTCCTGGGAATGCTACTTTTTAGTGTGACAGGAGGACATGAATGCAGAAATTTCTTAGAGGTTTTAATTCCCAATATTTTTCTGGGAAAGAGGGAATCATGACAGTGAAATGTGGCATAAAGTAGCAACTGTTTGTATGAGTATGGCCAACAGTGTAGAGCCAAATCTTTTGCCTACAGCCAGCTTTCCAGTTCAGTCATACCTAGATGTGTGTGACTGGCATATCTGCTGGCTGTAATGGCAAACAATAATTTGAAATGCAGGAGATTGGGGAAAGCTGGTCTACAGCCTTGAAAATTCCCTTATCCTAATTTCATGCTTGGTTGGATCTACTGGCAACCACAATACCACAATATACAATGATATTATGAGCCAGTCTATAAAATATGAATATTAACCAAAGCATAAAAGATATATCTCAGATGCCAAAAGAAAGCAGCACAAACTCTTAAATTCATATTAATACAACAAACATACAAAGAGAACCTTAGGAAGCCTATAAAAATGTGTGGCATCAAAAAAAACTGCTACTGTCCTACACATTCCACACTTAATGTTTTTTTCCATGTTCATCATACCATTCAAATTATCAAATCCTCATTAAATTGTGCTATGAAAATTCTGTTCTAAGCAATTTGAAGAATGGCATTTCCATAGCTGGTGTCTCTGCACCACACAGAAATAATTGTTATTTACAAATGACACCAAATTATTAAGGGTGAGTAAAACCAAAAGAAACTGAAAATCCTCCAAAGGATTTCTCTGAACTGGGCCTTAAAATGGCAAAGGTAATTTAACAGGAGTAATGTGAAAAAAATGCACATTAGGATATAAAATTCCAGCTGCACATGTAGGTTGATGGCATTTAAAGAGAAGCATTGCCTGTTGTGAAAAATATAAGTTCCATGTTGAGGAGCATTAGGAAAGGAATACACAATAAAATTGTGTCGTTATACAGTATATGTATGACTTCACTTAGAAAATTGGGTGCAATTCTGGTGGTCACACCTCAAAAATTGACAAACTAGAAAAGCTGCAGAGGATGGCAACCAAAATAATTGGATGGAGTAACTCCTGTTAAAGTAAATATGTATGTATGTGTGTAAGTAAAAACATCTCATATTAGGGATGTGCAAAATTCAATAATTGCAATAATTTGCCAACAGAACACTCCAGGGGACTCCAGATTCTACTTCTGCACCATACCATACTTCCTCATGAACCATATTGTACCAGGGACAGTTTTGACAGTTTCCTGAAGTAAATTCTCCAATCTGGAAGTGGCACCACATTTGTGATTCACTTCTAGAAATAGCCCAACTCTATGGAACAGGATGGTCCAAAGGGGGGAGGGGGGAACATCCATGTCCAGGTTACCTCAAATCACTTCCAGTTTGGATTTACTTTGAAAAAACTGCTAAGCTGCCTCCAGAAAGTCATGGTCTGGGACGAGTATAGCAAGGTCCTGAAGAGAAATGGAACATTGTAGAGTTCAGCAGAAGATTCTGCTCCTGAAGGGGTGAGTTTTGCACATCTGTACAATGTTTATTCTCTCAAAATACTAGGATGTTGTGTTATCCAGGGTAATGGAATAGCAGGAGACTCAAGACAGACTAAAGAAGTTTTCTACACAGTGGATAATAAACTTGTGGAATTGCATCAGGTTGTCAAAAAGACTTGACAGCCATTTGTCCAGGATGGTATTCCTGTACTGGGCAGGGAGTTGGACTAGAAGACTTCCAAGGTTCCTTCTAACCCTATGATTTTATTATTTTAGTGAAAGCTACCAATATTGGGTGGCTTTAAAATGGGATTAGACCAGCGTTTCTCAACATTGGCAACTTTAAGATGTGTGGACTTCAACTCCAAGAATTCCCCAGCCAACTTTTGAAGTCGACACATCTTAAAGTTGCCAAGGTTGAGAAACACTAGATTAGACAATTAATGAAGAACAAGGCTTTCAATAGGTGCTATCCATATTCCTACATTATCTCCAGAATTATGCCTCTTGTTTCCATTTGCTAGGAACAGAGCAAGAGAGCCCTACTGCATTCATGTTATGCTTGTCAGCCTCCCCTAACATTTGAATAGCCACCCTAGCAGCAGAATGCTGCATGAGTCTGATTTAACAGATCATCTTAAGGTCATATTCATATAAAACCTTGACTGCAAATGCTCTTGAAAAGCGAAGTGGAACTTCGTTCACTTACTGTATATAAATGGCTTGAGTCTTATAGTTTCCAGCAGGTAGTTTTCTAGGTTATTAATGGCTTTTCTAGTATCTGCAATAAAACTTTCTTATCAAGAGCTGAGTCCTTGAATCTCTGCCTGCAAGCCTTCTAGTTCATATTAATCTGAGTGAAGCTTGACAGCCTGATACATTTGTTTTTATTTAACTTTTTATACCACCAATATTTTATTCTACACTGGGCAGTGTACAATAAAACGTTGACATAAAAATGCCCTATTGAATAACCATATCCCACACTATCAACAAAAACATCCCTAGTCATTGACTAGGTGTCAAAAACCCATTTAAAAAGAAAGGTCTCCAGCTCAGTATCTGCTTAGAAATATAGTCATGGCCTGTAGTAGCCCTTAAAAGAAGGAAAGGGTCAAAGTCAATGAGCAATAATCACTGTCTGGACTGACTCCTACCTCCACACAACATGCATTACTAATTGCAGGTACCAGCAAATAATTAAGGGCTGACATTTTAGAACCAAACTAAAAAAGTCCTTTCCCCAGGACAATCACCCTGGCTTGCTCCAAGTCCTGGCACATTTGGACTTGGTTATCTGGGAGGAGTTCAAGCCTGTTGATCCCAAAGAAGCGGACAGCATCCTTGTCATTGTGCACTCTACTACCTGTATTCTGGACCCATGCCCCTCCTAGTTGGTTAAGGGCTCCTAGGAGATGGCATGTAATTGGGTCCAAATAGTGATTAATGCCTCTTTGTGGGAGAGGATGGTGCTGCCAGCCTTGAAGGAAGCAGTGGTATACCCCGTTCTCAAGAAGCCATCCTTGAACTCAACAGTATTGGATAATTTTTGTCCAGTCTCTAACTTTCCATTTTTGGGGAAGATTGTTGAGAGGATAGTAAGTGTCCAGCAAGATGGTGGATTATCTAGACCCTTTATATTGAGAGTTCAGACTGGGTTATAGTACTGAGTACTGAGACAGCATTGGTGATCCTTGTGGCTGACCTCTGGAGGGCTCAGGATGGGATTGGTATGTCCACTGTAGCCCGCTTGGATCTCTCGGTGGCTTTCTAAACCATCTACCATGGTATCCTTCTGGACTGGCTCTGGGGGTTGGGAGTGGGTTTTTGCATTGGTTTTCTTCCTTCCTCCATGGCTGGTTACAGTTGGTGTCAGTGGAAGGGGGAGAGGTCCAGCCCTATGCCTCTCTTATGTGGGGTGCCTCAAGGCTAGGGTCTCTCACCTCTCCTATTTAATATCTATGTGAAGCTACTGCTTGGGCCATCGAGAGGCATGGGGTGCGGTATCATCAGTATGCAGATGATACTCAGTTATACATCTCCACCCCATGCCGGTCAGATGTTTGCCCAGTGCCTGGATGGGGAGGAACCAGCTGTGATTCAACCCTAGCAAGATGGAGTGGTTTGAGGTTTTGGTTCTCTGGAGTCCATTGAGCTGTCATCTTTGACTAGATGGGATAGCACTCCTCTGAACAGAGTTGGTACACAGGTGGCAGTCATGGCCTGGGCAGCCTTTCCACATATTCATCTTGTGCACCAATTGCACCCATTCCTGGACCAGGAGGTCTTGCTTCTAGTCACTTATGCCTTAGGGATTTACCAACTGGGTTACTGTGACATAGTCTACATGGGGCTGCCCTTGAAGACCACCTGGAAGTTAGAATTGGTCCAGAATGTGCTGGCACATGCAGTTCTAGGCATCCCATTGTTTGCCCACGTTACATTACTGCTGTGCAAGCTGCACTGGCTTCCAGTTTTTGTCAAAGTGCAATTCAAGATGCTGGTTATCACGTTTAAAGCCCTGAATGGCATGGGGCTGAGTTATTTGTAGGACCGCTTCTCCCCAAGGGTATCTGCCCATCTCACCAGGTCAGATAGAATAGGCATACTCCAGGACCCTTCCCTTAAACATTTTCAGCTGGTGGGACCCTGGAGGTGTACCTTCTCTGTAATTGCCCCAACTCTTTGGAACAGCCTCCTACCTAAGATCTGGAAGGTCCTGACCCTTCTAGCCTTCTACAAGGCCTTGAAGTACTGGCTATTTCCCCAGGCATTGGGCTAGGATGGGGAGGAACCAGCAGATGTAGATCTGATCAACGTTATGGTACTGTAGTGGGCAGTGTAATGCTCCTTGTATGGGTAATATGATTGTTTTATTGTGGTTTTATTGGTTTTGTTGTGAGCTACCTAGGATTATTGTATTTAAGATAGATGACCATCCAAGTTTAATAAATGAACAAATAAATGCCTAAGTCCAAACTGTTTGCCATTTCTGTCAAACAAAACTTGCCACATTGCATGTCATATCTTTTGAAAGAAGTACAGATTAAAAAGCTCATCATGTGGTCCTGGGGGGACAGCCATGATGTTGTAAAAATAAGGTCATTTTGTTAATCCCATTGGAGCATCCAGTTCACCTTCACAGTGGTGTACTCTGCTTAATCTGTAAATGTAAACTTTGTGGAGACAGATATATATTAGCAAAAAGGTGTGATGTTTGGACTTTCCATAGCTTAGTGACATGCAGGGATAAATTAATTTCTGGTTGCAAATCTGTAGAAACAGACTTGGCCCACCATTCATTCTGCAAATCTATGTCACTTACCCAAGTAAGAACAAAATATAATGGCCTTGGGGACAGAGTGATTGTGGAACCCCCTTTTTGTTCATTTGCTTGATTTGTTTTGATCTGGTTTTGATTACTTTGTTCTTCTGGTCTGTTGTATTTTTTATATGTATTTATTTATATTTTGGTTTTTAGTTGTAAGCCACCCAGAGTTGTACTAGAGATGGGTGGTCCATAAATTAAATAAACAAATGAAAATTATTAGGGTGATTATGATAATAATGGGTTAATTAACTAATACAGGAGGTGTCTGAACTTTTAACTTCCAAGTGCAATTTTCCATGAGATCCAGAAGGGATTACGCAACATGTAAATGTCAGTCCAGATGGCGATCTGCAGGTTCATCAGAACAGAATTTGAAACCTGAGCTATCATGATGGCCAAATGACTCATTAATTCTGTTTTAAATCATTGTCTGCCATGTGTGTGTAACATAGATAGGGACAGAAATAATTAGGTAGGGTTTGATATTGTGGGGTTGGTTTTTTTGAAATTAGGAATTCTTAACTATCTCAAAGTGACCACTTACATTATATACATTCTAGAAGAGGCATAATTTGTTCCTATGTTATTTTGGGAATAACTAAATAGCCTTTAAAATTTCTTTGCCATGATCGTAAAATTATAATTTAGAGAATTTATAGTAAAGATTGAACTTAGTTTCAATATGAACTAAATATTAAAAATAAATAAATAAATATGAACACTGTCATCTTTCATATCACTTTTTACCAAGTACTGGCAAAACACAGGTAAGACACAGACGAGGGAGGTTATTATATATCTCATCTACTCAGAAGACTAGTTGGACATAAACAATTAACATTTTATGTAGCAATACAATTCTTATAAACAATTTTTAGTTGTTTTGTTTTAAACATAATTTGCCCGGTCTCCAACTTTTTTCTCCCATTTCCAATTATGATTATGTTTGACATGATGTTTTTACAGTATGATGTGAGTTGCTTTCTCTTTAAAATGGCACACCAACAAGATTTCTTCTTGCTAATTATAAAGGACACAACTAAAACATCAAGCAAAATTGAAAAAATTCTGTTCTGCTATCTAACTCTTTAAAAGCAGCCCTAAATCAGTATTATACCCCAGGCCCACAGTTCTCATTCCTACAGAATTTCCCCCCAAGTAATAGGATTGATGTCATATCTAAATTAAGTTTCAGGTTGTTTCTAACCCTTCAGATCCGCCAGATAAGAATAATTCCAATCATTACTAGCAGAACAACCTTATCTACTCAAAAGTAAGCCTCATTGAACTCCATGAATCTTACTCTTAAGTAAGTACAACCTAATTCTATTTCTGCCTTCCATCTTCTTTTAGTAAAGATTTTTCCCCTTTCATTCCTCGTAGTTTCTTTTTCCAAATTATTTCTCCTCAGATGTAGATATTTAGTTATTTAAAGGCTAACATATCAGAGTTGAAGAAAAGAATGCAATACAGCTGTAGCCTCATCTAGTAACCATCTCTACAATGTATGTGATAAATGTTTTTCAATGACCTTTATTATTATGAATCTGCACTATATTGCTATAACCATAATACACAATGTTAGCAGTATTTATTTTTGCAGCACATGTGCTAAAAGTTTATCCCCTATGCTTATTTCATTCAGAGCAAGTTCAAAGCATTTTTGGGAAAGGCATGCTGAAGTACACTCTCAACTTGTGTCACGGACACTATGATTTCCTAGTTCGAATGCCTGAGAATTTGATTGTTCATATCATGTCATTTCTTAATGTGGAAGACATTGAACAGTTGTCAAAAACCTGTAAAAGGTTTCAGCAGGTAATAACTTCCATTGTTATTTTAAACATTTGATGTTTTAAATAATTTCCATAATATATAGTCTATAATTTATATGGTATGGTACAGAGATTATAATAGTCAACTATCATGTAGAACAGGGGTCCTCAAAGTACGGCCTGTGGGCCGGATACGGCCCGCCAGGGTCATTTATCCGGCCTGCCCACCTGATTGGCCGCCACTGTCTGTCAGAAGTGGAAGTGTCGGGGCTGTGTCGGGAGCTGCAGGCGATGCATGAGGAGGGAGATCGCAGAGCCAGACTATTC